TTTGTTTCTGGAGGAAATTAATGTTTGGAGATTCACTCGCATACTCATATGTTTTATGTTTTTAAAGTTAGATATTTAATTTTGGACTCATTTTAAAGCTCTTGTCAAGCTTATTTCATTGGTACATTAAATTAGAAATATAATGTACCACGTTTGACCATCTGAATGTTTACTTCTCCCAGAGCCAAATACAAAACTGGGAATTTAAAAACCTGCAAAATTGGATCATAAAAAAGTAAAGAAAGAAGGCTGGAGATATTGTAGATGTTACTTACTTAAACTACAAACCTCTAGCTGGTCAGGACCAGCTAATGGTACAAATTTTAGACCATGCTAGTGATCGGCTCTACTTAAGCAGATTGTAACGTAGAATATATGGGGAAACTAAATAAACACAGACATAAAATTTATGGATAATCTAGGCTGTCCTATTCACTAAAGTAAACTTTAAAATAAAACACTCAAAGCCAGCCCTTAGTTAGATATTTATCAAGCTTTTCCTTAAACTTTAAATTTACTGCATCCACCGCATTTGAAAGCAATCTATTCCAAATACCAACCACCCTGTTAGAAAAATACAACTATCTTAGCTGAAGATTACTTACCTAGCCAGAGTTTGTGTCCCCTAGGCTTACCTTTTACACCAGTAAATACAAAAAAAGATGGTTCTATCAATTCCCCTAACAATTAGACCCCCTCTGACTTTTCTTTTTTCAAGTGAAAACAATTTCAGAGATTTTAATATATTCTCATATGACAACCTCTCTATCTCATTTATCATCCTAGTATCACTCCTCTGAACTCTTTTTCAATAATTCAATGTCCTTCCTAAGGTAAGGAGCCCAAGACTGAACACAATACTCCAAATGTGACCTAAATTCTTTAGACTTGTATTCATTGTTTTCAGTAAAGGTGCATAGCAGTGAGACAGCTTGAGAAATAGGGAATAAACAAACTGACAGGTAGGGCAATGGGAAGTTTGAAAATAGAAGATTTAGATTATAAGCAGTTAAATATCAGTTTTAAATGTGTCAGATTTAAATATAAACATAGTAGATTCAGGAATAAACCTAGTTGCTGTTATTCTTATGATAATCTTAAAATGATGGAGTTCAGGGCTTTAGAATACAATGATATAATAAGAAACTTGGTTAGATTTGAAGAATATTGATTATAGCATTATTTTGAAATTCCATATTATAAATTATTCCAAAGGGATAGACTTGAAGTAAGGGATGAAGTGCTGCCTATTAGGATTGAAGACATAAAAAATGATAATCATGAGGTTGAATCTACATATATTTGGGTTAGAACATTTCAAATTAGCAACTGTTAGAAGACACCTGCTCAGAAAGATTAGGTAATGAGAAATAGTAAAGAATCAAAGTTTTATTAATAATAAAACTTAATAAGTATAGGAAAAAACATCGGAGTTTTTATTAATAATGAAATTTAGTAATTATAGGAAATTAACATTAGATTCAATGATTGTATGTAGTGAAGGAGAGATATTTCTTGAAGTAATTCATGATAGTTATCTATACCAAATAGTCAGAGAACCAACCAGAAGGAATGCAATTTTAGATTTAATGTTAGCCACTTGTTAGGATATCATTGAAAGAGTTTAAATGCATGAACATTTGTGTAAAAATTATCACTGCACGATTAGGTTTGTGTTTTGTTGCATGTTAAGATAAAAATAAAATACTTTGGTTCATAGTTTTCAGAAAGCCAGTTTGAAGCCATGAGATTTCTTAATAGTGAATTGGGATAATGAGTTGATAGGTGGTGTTGCACAGACTTGGGAAATTTCTGAAAACAAATAGTTTTTAATTCAAGTTAGGCCTATAAAAGAGAAAAAGGATCACAGGGAAGGTTGAGAGAGTAAAAATAGGTAAATCACCATGACCAGACAAAGTTTCCCCAGGGTTTTAAAGGAGCTCAAAAATTGGATATGCACAAGTCATTCATTTTTAATAGGCCAGTAAACAGTGGACAAGTGCATGATGATTGGAGAGTTGATAGCATTTCTGCAATTTTGAACTTTGGGACACCTGGATGGGTGTATTCTTCACTGACAGCAAAATTGTACTGTTGAAAGAAATAGTTTATAGAAAATATATTGGAAATTCTTCTACTACACATTAATAAAAAAACTTGTTTATTAAACTTTATGCACAAGAAATTTTGTGTAATCAGGTTAAGAGTTAAAAACATTGTGTGTGAAGTTCCTGAATTATATGGTTCCATAGAAGGAAGGCTAAAAGAATTTTTAATAAAATAGTGCTACTTTGGACCTTGTAACTTCAATACAAGTGTGGTTTATCAGTTTTATACAGTCGCTGTTTCTTAACCTCATAATTTAATATAATTGCTTGTATCTCAGCTTTCAGAAGCCATAGTTTAATGTAATATAGTAATAATATACACCTTGTACCTCTATAGTATAATGTAATATAATTAGGGTTCCTAGCAGTCCTTAAAAAGTCTTAAATTGATATTGTATTCTTTTTAAGTCTTAAAAAAATTTAAATTTGCAGGTTTTGGCTTTAAAGGTTTTAAATTTAATTTCCCTGGGTATTGATGCCGTATCATTTTCATAAGTTTGGTTTGTTCCACATTGCACCTATGCTTAACAGCAGTACAGTAGTTTGCAATCATTCTGTGTAGGCCTACATGAAACTGGGAATACTAAATCAAGTTTGCCATGCATTTGTTCTGTCTAGGTATATTACCTGGACTGGGAGCAAAAAATTGAGTTGGACTTGTTTTGATGGACATGCACATTGCTGCTAATGCAAATGGTAGGACTAGGCCTACCTCAGTTATAGTCTGTTTGCATTAAACCTGGGACTTTAAGCACCTTCACCACAATGTGTGAATTGCTGTTCGTATTGAAATGTTAATGCAATCATGGGAAAGTATGTGTTCAATGATAAGTGGCTGGAAGACAATATGGGCATTGGTTGTACAGAGGCTGGTGTGTGATTATGTCAGCATACGTGGAGGGGTAACCAAGGCCTCTGTGAATAAGAAGCTACTGAAGTATGCCCAGAAAGCCTACTCTAAATATTGCATGTACCTAGCAGAGAAAAAAAGCAAAGCTGGCTCAGAAGAAAAGCATCATAAGAGAAAGAAAATGGAGCAAGAGCTTGAGGTGGTCAAGCAAAAGGGAAAAGTATATGAAGTAACAGAATCTTTTCAGTTGGACACAGATAAATTTGCTGAACAAGCTAAAAATGCACAGGAAGCAAAATGGTTCATCCATTACTAAATCAAATGTAATCAGGAGATGAATGAAAGAAAGACTTACTGAAATAAAAGAGCTGAAAACTGACATTGACAAAAAAGCTCAGGAGCTACAGGAATTGTGAAAAACTTGACTGTACTAGTTTAGTGCAAAAAGTTGTACTTAATACATTTCCTGCTTGATGATTTTTTTTAGTTTTAAAATTTCGCTTGGTTTTCAGAAGTTGAAGCAAAATTCAACATAATAAACAAGTGGATTCTCTTGCAGTATTATGTAATCCGATAAATAGCATACAAATACATGTTAAAAGGTTTTAATTTTGTTAGGTGATAGTTTTACGAACCCTGATAATATCACTAAACATGGTTGTGCTTGGTATGGAGGGATGGGCTGGAGAAAAAATGGCTGCTATATATCACGTATTGCTCATTATAGTCACAAATTTCTTTTATCACAATGTAAGAGACTTTTATGAACACGTAACTTAGGATTTCAAAACCTTCAGTTCAGCCAAAAAACATCATTAAATAGAGTACCAACAAATAATGTAACAGCCAAATGTTCTGCTGATTATTCTCATTCTGGCATTAGATGGGCTAACTCACCAATACTTGAAGTTTTTGTGATGATTGACACACCAAAATGTTGCATTTTAACTTGAGTATTTTCTGGCATTTCCATCTCTACATCATATCTTTTTTTTTATTATTACTTGCAGTAATAAAATACACCTTGTACCTCTGTAGTATAGTTTAATATAATATAGTTATATACACTTTGTACCTAGTGACCCCAATTACATTCACTTTTTTACTACAATAACTTGAAAATTAAAACTTAATTTAATCAAGTAGATTTTTTCTGATGAAAATAAATGCTAGGCTTATTGGAAGGCCACATTGCATGCCTTATCTCATGGTAGACTAGTAAAGTACTATTGGCATTAGTGTACAAAATTGCAGACACATGTATGTATGCTAAATGTTATGTATTTATTCTCAAATGAAACTTGTGGTACTAAACAGTTAGCCAGAAATGAAGTTTAAGAATACTGTGGTCTAATAGTTGTTTTACACTCTTATTCACTTTCACTTGAAAGTTCTTATTTGTAAATAGTTTAACGTGTTCAGTGCTAGCACAAACAGAAGCAGTAACTGCTTGGAGTCTTAAACTTTTGAGTTGAAAATAACAATTAAAATGCATTCAGTACTTTTATCAATTGCAAAAGTGCAAAAAAATATGCAAGTTTTGATTCCTTAAAACATGAGTAAGTATTTAATTTGAGGTTTAATTAAAAAAAGGAGAGAAAATGGGGGACAAACCCCCCTAACCTCCTTCACAAGTATCCAACTTAGTAGTGGACTATTTCATCTGATATTCTACTGCTTGGGGCCCTGCACACGCTAAGGTCAATATTAACCTTATGGTCTTGATATATAATCCTTTACTCACCACTAATAACCTAAAATACTTTAGGTGTGATAAAGTGACATACCACTAAATCACCCAGCTCTAATCAGAATAAGATTTCAGTATTCAGAATAAAAATGTTAGAAATGAATATTAGGAATAATCTGTTGATGGCTTGTTTTTAGGAAAAAGATTTCTTGTTATTCAGCCATTGTTAAGTACAAAAATATGTAACAACTTTTAAAAGTATTTAAAGTTTTTGAGATAGAGTTGGTGTAGATCATGTGAAAGTATTTAGTTTATGTAGTAGAATGATTCATTTTTCTTGTCTAAATTTCAGAGAGATGTTTCCATCATAATCCCTGTTATTCTACTACCACGCTTGTGTAAATAGAATATCATCAAATACAGTGCTAAGCAGCCTCTAAGTATGGTATTGCCAGCAAGATTTCGATTTTACATTGTACTGTTAGGAGTATGTGGACTGGCACTTCTGGTACTTCACAGGTCTTTGTCTGGAAGTGAGAAAACTGCTTTAGATTATCAGAAGTATAAAATTTCAGGACGTAGGAACAAAAATGGTCGTTTGAAACCTGCTGACAACATCAATGATCTCTTACCTCTTACACAGCCAGTAGAACATCTTGAAAAACAAAAAGAGAGAGAGTCGCAAATTAGAGCAGAAATGCATCAGAAGATTAATAGAAATACTCGTTTTCGTCTGAATTTGGATGGTAACCTAGTTGTTCCAGATGAGAAGAAAACTGTCAATGATATGAACAGTGACTTATTAAATTCAAACTCAAAGTGGCTATTTGAGAACAGTGTTTTGAAAGTGAACCTTCCTCACCGAATTATTCACTTAGACCTTAAAGGAGCACCTCCACTGATGACCTACTACAGCAGACTGTTTTCCTTGCTAAAGGACCTTGGTGCCACTGGAATCCTCATGGAGTATGAGGATATGTTTCCATACTGGCAGCCCATTACTTCATTGGCAGCTTATAATGCTTACTCTTCATCTGATATTTTGAAGATTCTTCAGCTTGCTAAGTATAATAACTTGGAAGTGATTCCACTTGTACAGACATTTGGACATATGGAGTTTGTGCTAAAGTTAGACGAATACAAAAACTTGCGAGAAGTACCAGAGTACCCACAAGTCATTTGTCCATCTAATAACCATTCTCTGGCCATCATCAAACTAATGATAGACCAGGTATTGACTCTTCATCGTGAAGCAAAATGGATTCACATTGGCTCCGATGAAGTGTACAATATTGGGGAATGTTCATTGTGCAAGTCAAGGTTGGTTAAAAATTACTGGGATACTAATACTTTATTTTTGTCTCATGTAAAAACTGTTGCTGCATATGTCAAAAACAAACATGTTCAACCAATTATGTGGGATGACATGTTTCGTGTGATTCCTGAAGAACAGATCCGCAGTTCTGAAATAGCCAAATTTGTTGAAATAATGGTTTGGCAGTATTCAGAAAACATTGAGGATAAACTAACTCCTGAAATTTGGGAAAAGTATGGGGTTTTATTCTCTCCAGTTTGGGCTGCTAGTTCATTCAAAGGAGCTACAGGCCCTAGCCAGTACATCACTGATGTTTTTTACCATCTTCAAAACCACCATTCTTGGCTAAAAGCTATCAAGAAATATGAAAATAAAGTTAATTTTAGAGGCATAGTTATGACTGGTTGGCAGAGGTTTGATCATTTTGCTGTTCTGTGTGAGTTGTTGCCAGTAGGCATTCCTTCTATTGCCATCAACCTTCTTTATGTCCAACATGGAAAAATAGATTCTGAAGTGATGAAAAAGGTGCAAGATATACTACTGTGTGACAACAATCTTGGCTTGAAACAGAACTTTACAGTTGATGAAGTTATTTGTGGATTCCCAGGAGCAAAGATCTACAAAGGAGCTCAGAGGTTGGTGAAAGTAAAACATGAGTTACAGAAGCTACGTAAGAACAGTCATCTTGTTGGATGGATGGCAGACTACAATTTAGTGAAATCCTTCTCCAGCCCTGCACACATTGAGATTGGAACTCGGAAACTCAAAGAGTTGGCTGTCAACACAACTCTGTTGAACACCTTCATGCAGAATGTAATGCCTGATGTTTATGATAGTTACACTATTTCAGAATGGCTACAAACATTTATGGAACCCATTAAGCAAGAGCTTGAGAAAGTCCAAAGGAATGCTGTAAGGCTCCTGAAGTTTGACACTTGGCCTCGGAGGCCCTTGGGTTACCAGATTAACGAACATGTACCATAACTTCTGTCAGTTTTTTTTTCTTTTCTTGTTAATATGATAGATTATAATTAGTTTATTCTTAATCTTCAACTTCACAAAAAGAGATGGCTAAAAGTGAGATCAATAATAATGGTTGCAGAGAATAGTTGCCCTGGCTGAATGTAAGAGTAACTTGTGTTATATAACTGATGTTGTGATGATATATAAGTATTCATACAGTGTTGCTTAAATATTTCAGCTCTGGAAATTTTATTATTTGCAAGGTTGGCAAAGAATAGTATAAGTGATTGGCACAGAGTGAGATATTATCCCTCATTTTCTATTATTACTGTAGTTAATGTTTTTTAGAAAGCAAAGAAATTGATAAAACAAAAACTGAAATTTAAAAAAGTCTAATAGTAGTTTGTATGTATTTGTTTTGATGGAAAATTTTGTTTTCTCTTGAAATTTGTAGCTTCTTTTTCATTTGAGGGTTTTTTGTTGATTAATTAAGGCATATAAACACAATTATATCCATTGTGTGATTTCAATTCAGGTAGGAAGTGAACCTGATAAATGTAAAAACAGAATAATAGTAAAACCCTTTGGAGAATGTTGCATGACTTAAATTAATAACAAGCTTTATGAATTAACACAGGTTGGTAACATTTGTGATTATTTTAAACGAGGAATATATTATATGTGAGGCTAGCATTTCAAAAATGAAAGAAGAGTAGAGTTATCTTGATAGTAAAGAAGGCTTACCTTCTGTTTATAGTAAATTAAATAATAATATAATACATAACTCTTTAAGATTAATGATAATATAGTATGTATCTCTTTAAAATTGAATGCTGAAGTTAGCTGTTTTAATGTAGGCCCTCCAGATGGTTTTGAGTATAGAATGTATAGAAGCTGATAAATGAATACACTCGTAACTAAGCTGTATACATAACTAATTTTAACTTGATACAAACTTTCTCAGAAAACCTGTATGAGGCTTATTACTCTTTTGTAAATTTTCAGTTTCTAAATGATAAAAATCTGGATAACATTAAGGCCTTGATTGATACCTATCATCCCGTGTGTCTTTCCTTACAGGAAACATTCATGAAAACTGCCGATACAGTCACCTTATGGCAGTTTTCTTTATACCGGAATGACATGCTGTGTGATGGACGAGTGCACGATAAGGTGGCCCTGCTGGTCGAACAGCATGTGCCCTTGGTTTCTCAGGAAACCTGTTTGAGGCTTATTACTCATTTTAAGTAGTATAAAAAATTCCTAGTATCTGTTGTAAATTTTCAGTTTCTAAATAATAAAAAATTTTGAAAGTAATGCCGATCAAAACTGATGGGTTTTTTTGTAAGATGAAAACCTGAAATATTGAAGTATTTCATTAACTTTTAAACATATGAATTGATTATAATTTCTCAAGAAGGTACAATTTGCTGCACATATTATGTTTTAAGATATTTTGATGTAAAATCCTCTATTACTGTTTTAATTCCTGGTTTGGGAAAGTAAGTTTCAAATGTCTTAAATTTTGATAGAAAGTTGTGAATCTTAAGTAAAATTTGTTGATACTTTATTCCTGTATTATGATGATAAGTAGATTAATAAAAATACGTTTTTGGGTAGAAAAATCAGGTTTTGAGAGGGGTGTATAGGTACAAGAATATTCTAATTAACATAATTTATTATCTTGCTATGAAAGAAAAGATTTGTTGAGATCTAAAAAGATAAAGATTGAAACCAGTGTTACAAGCATTATTTTTACATGTATGGTTAGTTGTAGGAAAGAGGATAATGTTTTAGTGTTGTATATGTTGTTACAATTATATAGTGTCCGCACATGAAGTAGTGTCTTTTATTTTATGCACCTCTAGCATAAATGAATAGATTCCAGTTGGAATTATGAAAACAAAGTTTTTGAGAGAGACAGTGAATACTTATATGAATATGATGCCAAGTATTGAAATTTGTGAAACTGAAATATAAATAGGTTTCTGTGTTGAATATAACACGTTCCTTCAATTACCTTCTTGATGGTTGATATGTATTCAAAGAAAAATGTCTACTAGAACCTTTAGTATTTGATGTAATGTATAGTTAGTTATTTCAAAATATTAAGACATTTTTAGTAATATTGAATCCATGGAATATACAAGGAGTCGATGTGTTCATAACCATTTGTTCATCCCCCTCCCACATAAGGGAGAACTAGCAGTGCTTTATATAATTATTCTGATATCGACCAAACAGTTGGTGTAGTTAGTACACTTATGAGTTTGCATATTGAAAAACAAAGAATGAGTAAAAAGATGCTAGGAACCCCATTACTGTCATGATATCAACAGGTTAGAACAAGACCTTACACTTTATATAACAAAGTTGGAACAAAACTAGAGTTTTTCTTTTTTAAATACTTTTTACACATGGTAGGTAATTTTAACATTTTTTTTAAATCTGTTTTTTCACATTGAAAATAAAGTGGTAGTAATTAAGAGAATGAAGATAGGCAGTAACATGTTGAATCATGAATATGAAGAAAACAGTGATCAAGTTTTATTTTTATAAACTTATTTTTTGTAATATATGTAGCTGTCAGAATAAATATTCCTAGAGTTTCATTGTGAGGTTACAAAACAGGTATAATCGTCTTTCAGTAGTTTGATTTTATCATTTAAGTTGAAAAACATGTTTTAAAAGCTACAGATTAATGCTTATAATCCAGTACTATTTGACTGCTTGGTTTAATCTATGTGCTAGAACATAACGATAATTAAAAATTACTCCTAAAAATTATTTAATTGGCTGGCAATTAAAAAGGTTTTAAAAGATATTTGAATATTATTTTATGGTAATTACTGTGAAAGGTGTATGCATGTTCTAATTATTAACTGATAAAAGTTGCAGCTTCTTTGGATGTGCTGTTGGTTACAATTTTCAATAAAGGATTATAAAAACTACAAGAAGTGCTCCTACATTGTTTTGGAATTTCTGTCAGAGCATCAACAACAAATTGGATCTCACATAAGTAACTTATGCACAATTTTCTACATCAGAAAATGGTTTAACTGCCATATCTATTTGGATAGCTGACAAATATCAAAATATTTAAACAGTAGTAGTACTTACTACAACCAAAGTTTCAGTGTTTATTCTTTGTTTAGAATATGTATTATGAAAATGGATGAGGGAATAATGTATGTGTCAGCAATATATCTTATGACTGATGTTTTAAAGTATAACATGTTAGAAAACAAAAACCACTTTCAGCAAGATGTAAATAAACAAAGATTAAGAGATTGAAAAAGTAAACATTGTCAGTGTGATGGTAGAACATATCCTAAAGAAAAGTTCGTTAAATTAAATATTGTCTTATAGCACTTTGACTTTTTTTTTTCTGATTTTGTCACTCTTCTGCAATTATAGTTCTATTTTCTTAACAATATGTAAATACAGGGGCATGTACCCTGGGCCCTGCACTCTAGAGAAGAGACTTTGCTTATTGTATAAAATTAGATCAGATATTGTGTCATTATATATAGGTTTTTGGAAAGTGGAAATACATCAAGAAAAAACTGAAAATGGTTGAAAAATAACATTATTATTGCAGTTTTATTTATGGTTATAGGTAATAGCTGATCCTGCTGGTGAATTGCTGTTTTTATGCTTTACACTGATTTTCTCCAGGTCTTTTTTTTATTTTCCTTACTCGATTATCCTTTCCGGTTTCAACACTATTTCTTATGTGTAATGTACAGTATTATTGTCTTTTGTATATTTACATTTGTGCAGAATTTTCCTAACAAGTTAACTGCCATTTGGTAACTCTGAATCTCGCCCGTAGTGCCAAAGAGGGGTAGGCCTAAAGATGCCGAATGCCTCCATCATTCAGTTTTTAATTTGTCACTGTGAGAGTAAGGTTTGTCGTACGTAGTGTTTTTGTATGTGTGTGTGTGTGTGTGTGTTTTCTGTTGAATGACAATATAAAAGGCTTAATACATATGGTGCATCTACATACACTGGGTGCTTTTAAGAGAGGATTGCATAATTGTATGGATAGAATTTAGGGAGCTTATGTGTATAATGTACAAAATTACTGACCTCGAATAGCCCTGAACAACGGTATTCTCATGAAATGTGGTCATAAGTCCTAATATACTGCATGGTTTAGATTTTAAAATATTGGGTTAATTCCTAGAATAGCTCAGCTTTGTTAATGCCACTAGCACACACTTGCATAAAATTGTACTACAGGATTAATAGCTCAGCTTTGTTAACACCACTAGCACACACTTGCATAAAATTGTACTACAGGATTAATAGCTCAGCTTTGTTAACACCACTAGCACACAGTTGTATAAAATTGTACTACAGGATTAATAGCTCAGCTTTGTTAACACCACTAGCACACACTTGTATAAAATTGTACTACAGGATTAATAGCTCAGCTTTGTTAACACCACTAGCACACACTTGCGTAAAATTGTACAACAGGATTAATAGCTCAGCTTTGTTAACACCACTAGTACACACTAGTATAAAATTGTACTACAGGATTAATAGCTCAGCTTTGTTAACACCACTAGTACACACTAGTATAAAATTGTACAACAGGATTAATAGCTCAGCTTTGTTAACACCACTAGCACACACTTGCGTAAAATTGTACTACAGGATCGGCATAAATTAATTTCATATATATAAATCAGTATCATATTCTTTGTTTTTGCAACTATCAGAAGTGATCCCACCTGGTTTTTACTTGCCTTTTTACCCTTTTTTCTATAAGGAATATGTTTTTCTTGAATATCTAAAATTTTCCACATTTGATCAATGTCTCCAAATAACTCAGCTGCCCAATTCACAACAAATAATTCTTGTCACATCCTTTCAAAATTTGCTTTTTTGAAAATGAACTCTAGCATTTCCCAATCTAAATGCCTGAAATTAAAATCACCCATAATTATCACCTCTAACAGCTGAAAACTTAATCTAATTGTAAAGTTTCTCATTAATTTCATCAGTATCATCTGGTGGTCTGTAACAAATTTCCACTAAAAGCCTTTTCCCTTTATATTGCAATAACAGAAACCCAAATGGATTCAACCTCCTTGCTATTAGCTTTGATATCCTCAATTTCAATAGGATGTAACTCACATTTTACATATAAAGTCATTCCTCCCCCTCTCTTTAGTACTTTATCCTTAATAAATAACCTGTAACCCTCTATTTCAAAGAAATTTCTATCATGAAAATAATCTGCATTTAATCTTGTTTCAGTTATTACTATTGTATCAAAATTTTCTATTCCTACCAGTGCTCTAAAGTCATCTATTTTATTTCTTATACTTATAACTATATTACTGTACAAAAGTGCTCAAGATTGTCGAAATTGTAAAGGCAATTTTTTTCGTTGTGAAGTATAAAGCTGTAAAATGAACTATCTGTGCTGTGTCGACCACTGGGATTGAACCCAAATTTTGGCATTATAAACTCTGAAGCTTATCGCTGAGCCACGGGAGGGGGGAGAGGAAGTAGTGGACATAACAAAAACGATATTTTTAATTATTTTTGAAATCCAAGAACGAAATAAAAAATGTCTTGATTTACCATGATTTTAGTTTTTAAACCCGAACAAAAACATAGAGTTGTTCTAATTTACACAAAATATAAAGAATTATTAATTAATTAAATATTGATTAATTAAGTAAAATTAATTATTGGATGAAAAGAAACATTATTATTAATCAGTTATTGTTTAAGGAAAGTTTTTATGGAATGACACTTGGTTTTATTATGATTATTATTCTATATGCACCCCAGTGGGACAGCGATATGTGTGTAGACTTACAACGCTAGAAACCGGGTTTCGATACCCGTGGTGGGCAGAGCACAGATGGCCCATTGTGTAGCTTTGTGCTTAATTACAAACAGACAATTATTTCATATTATTTATTTTTTCTTGCCATTATCTTAGACTGTCCAATTTTGAATTTGAATAACTTAAGTTTATTTATTTGGTTTCGAAATCTTTAAGAAATTCCAGTGCAGAAAAACGTCCAGTGTCATCTAATGATTCATAAGGTAACGTTAGAGTGGTGTGAGAAACAATACTTGGCAAGCATCATTGACTCCAAAGCTATAAAATCCTGTGTGTTTTTGTTTGCCTACTAGGTAACGGTAATTTAATTATTTTGTTTTGTACAATATGGATGTAGTCTAAGAAAACAAAAAACATGTGCAACATGGTGACATCAGGAGCACTGTTGTGGAAAACATAGAGCTGACAGTGCCAGTCTGTGCGGGAAAGAAACTATCATGAAATGTTTGAGATATAAAACAACCCTGAAGTAACCCAAGCTAAACAGGGATTTGATTTCCCAGCTCCTGACACCGCCCCTTTTATAAAGATCAGCAGAAAACTCACGTGGTTTAGTCCTAAACTTACGTTCTGTTCAAAGTCCGTGCTAACAGACCGTGAAGAAGTTAGTCCCATTACATGATTATAAGCTACAGTATTCGAAACACCTGCTACATATAGCTGTGTTCACACAAGCTATGTCTGCGCGACACAGGAAATGAACTAAATATTCTAGGACGTTTAAGCGTGTCTCTTAGACAAATATTTTCTTAGCGGTATGTCGGGGGCTGCAATAGTTTGAGAGTTTTGTCAGTGTCCAGAGTATTAGATGGTGGGTGGTAATATATCAATGCATCTGACCGGCTGCCAGTTTGCATCACCTGTGGGGATGGAGAAACACAAATTCGCTTATAGAGTCCCGGCACGCCGTCCCTCGGCCTGTGAAGGGACTCGCTTCTAACTATATCATATTTTCGGTATGACATGCCTTATTCTACATCTCTATCCACAACATGAGTACTTGTTGTTCAGATGTAACAGGTCAGGTCATTTGATATCTTTCGTTGACCAGAATAACGTCACTCGTAAAGCCTCTTCAATCCAGACGTCTGACCCTCGAACAGACTTAGAGAAATCGAGATCTAAGGGAGTAGATAAGGTGTTCTTTCATTCAGCAGAGCAACGTTCCAGTTCAGGAACTTGTAACAACAGTACATTAGGAGGTGCAAAAGACAAATCCCAGGACAAGGAGTTTTCAGTTGGAAAATGTAATTATTTTGTAGTTACATCCCAAGGTAGGTTCCCACACAGTTGTCTTGTTTTTCGGCAATGTTTAAAATACTCCTATTGAACTTTCAGTTTACCGAGATAATTCTCAAAGGTTCTTTGAAACATAAAATAACTAAATCCTTTTTAAATTAAATATTATAAATATAAAGAAATAATTTCAATGATATTTATTCAACTAAGTCTAGGAGATAACCAGATGTTGAATCTAACGGCCATTATCGTTCATCTGGTAGTGCCTTTCTGAGCTTTTAGTGTACCTTTACCCACTTGAGATTCTTCTTCTTTGAACAACTTTGACATTGCAGAACTACTTAATTCTTGTCAGCAAAAAAAAAAAAAAAAAAAAAAAA